CCATTTTGCGAATTGCTTCCAGCCAACTTTTCCTTCGGAATGGAAAGACATGTCACAATAGCCACACTTGCGCCTCTAAAAGTTCGAAACTGTATGAGCTATTTTGGAGCCACATAAACGATGCTCTCAGAATTGCATGTACTTGCCTATCCTATCTCATGTGATAGGCCTTCTTTTGTACCAACCCTTGCTTGTGACCACTTGTTCGGAAGACCTAGTCTCTTTTTTGTTTTGCCAAACCGATTTCAGGACTTCTCCCGCTGCCTCAGTCGCCTGCCTTTGGAGTTGCGGGCCCAGCTGACCAACATTGAGTTCGTCAACAACGGGGCCGGCATTAAGAATCCAATTGCAGCGAACCCGAAGCTCGAGCGAGAACTTCTCAATCAAAAATACGGTAAGTCAAATCTTTTAATAGCAACCGTTTACTAGCCTGGCTTCAATGAGAGAATGTTGATAGAGAGTGTATTGATGAGGCTGAAAATAGTCGTCCCTGGGGGTTTGTGCAAGCCCTCTTGGAGTGGACCATTTGGCGAAGTGGAGACGAGTCATCAATAAACACGCATGAACTAGTTTATAAACCTAGTTGGGGTGCTGATGAAGCGGTGAGAGAGATCGAAACTGTGGACTGGGCAGGAGGAGAAAATATTTTGGGGGGCAATGCTAAGTGAAATTCAAGGATATCATAAAGCCCACTCCTTTTATGGTATGGATAATCAACTATCATGAGGAAACGACGATAGAGTAACTTTTAATTAATGTGTAGCCATAACTAAATCGCCGGTCTATTTCACAGTGTGGATGATATCATCCACACTTTGGCGAACTTATTCAAACTGATAAACAGATCGCAATACTACTACTCAATAACGAAACAGTGTAATACTGTCAGATCATCAAAAGTTTAATGATATTAAAACAAGCAATTGAGTAGTACCATTGTATTTCACTTAGCCGTTCTTTCCACAAGGGTTTTTCAACCATACCGGAATTCAGGTTCGACCGTCTCTGTACCATCAGCACACTTAACAAGCTTTAAAACTTGATTGTGCTTATCATACAGTTGCATTAAGCCCTCATTGAACAGCCTCAAGCGCCAGGCCTTTGTTAAATCACATTTATATAGCGGGCCTATTGTCGATAAAGCAAACTTGTACTTGAAGATATGAAGACCAAGATGTTGTGGCCTCTGGTATGGTCGCAGTCTCCCTTCGATTTATTGAAATGGGTTCACCTTGTTGTCGCAACTTGGTCTTGTTGTCAGGACGACTTAGTAGGAT